ACCCTTGTCCCATGGAATCACTCCTATTTTGAAACCTTAAAAATGATAGATTTTGAATATGCCTATCCCTTCTTTTTTTGTTTGTTTTTGTTTTGTCTTGTTCTGACAAGTGTTTCATGTATATAGTGGGTATAAGCAACACTCTAACGTTATAGGGTATAACATACTGTTTTGATATGTGTATACAATGTGGTATGATTAAATCAAACTAATTAACACATCCTTCACCTGACTTACCTATCATTTTTATGGTGAGACATTTGAAATTTACACTTAGTTATTTTAAAATATATAATACATATTGTTGACTATAGTCACCTTGTATGTAATATATCTCATAATCTATTCTTCTGCCTGAAATTTTGCACCTTTTGGTTAATAACTCATTCCTCTGTCTGTCTGAAACTTTGTACCCTTTGATCAGCAACTCTTCATTCCCTTCCTTTCCACTGCAGCCTCTGGTAACCATCATTCTTTTATCTATTTCTGTTCGTTCAGCTTATTAGTTTCCACATGTAAGTGAAATCATGTGGTATTTGTCTTTCTGTGGTTGGCGTATTTCACTTAGCACAATATCCTCTGGATTCATCCATGTGTCACAAGGGACTGGATTTACCACCCTTCTTAAGGCTGAATAGTATTTTATTATGTATAAATAGTATTTTATTGTCCATTACAATATTTGTCCATTCATCTGTTAATGGGCACCTGGGTTGTTTCTGTGTCTTTACTATTGTGAATAATGCTGCAGTGAACGTTAGAGTGCAGATATCACCACCGACATACTGATTTCTATTCCTTTGGATATATGTACCCAGAAGTGGGATTGCTGAGGTGTGTGTTCTGTTTTGAGGTTTTTGAGGAACTTCCATACCATTTCTCATAATGGCTGTACTAATTTACATTCCCACCAGCAGCGTATAAGAGTTCCTTTTCTCTCCAAACTTATTTTTCATCTTTTTATAAAAGCCATTCAAAACTGGGTGTGGTGGTGGCATGTGCCTGTAATCCCAGCTACTCAGAAGGCTGAGGCAGGAGATCGCCTGAACCCAGGAGTTCAAGTCCAGCCTAAGCAACATAGCGAGACCCCATCTCTATTTAAAAATATAAATGTAGGAAGGAAAAAAAAAAACACATTCTAACAGGTGTGAAGTGATAGCTCAGTGTGGTTTTAATTTTCATTTTCTTAATAATTAGTGATGTTGAGCATTTTTTCTTGTACCTATTAGTCATTTGTGTGGTTTTTTTTTCTTTTTTCTTTTTTTTTTTTTTTTAAGAAATGTCTGTTCAGATTCCTTTACCTTTTTAAAATCACGTTATTTTCTTGTTGAGTTGTATGAGTTCTTTATATATTTTCTTATATATTTGGGGTATTAACCCCTTATAAGATGTATGGTTTGCAAATATTTTCTCCCATTCTTTGAGTTGTCTCTTCACTTTGTTAATTGTTTCCTTTGCTGTGCAGAAGCTTTTTAGTTTGATACCATCTCATTTGTCTGGTTTTGCTTTGGTTGTCTGCTTTTGGAGTCATCTCCAAAAAGAAATCATTGCCCAGACCAATGTCATAGAACTTTTTCTCTTTTTTTTTTTTTTTTTTTTGAGACAAAGTCTGGCTCTCTCACCCAGGCTGGAGTGCAGTGGCGCTATCTCGGCTCGCTGCAACCTCCACCTCCCAGGTTCACACCATTCTCCTGCTTCAGCCTCTCGAGTAGCTGGGACTACAGCCGCCCGCTACCATGCCCAGCTAATTTTTTGTATTTTTAGTAGAAACGGGGTTTCACCATGTTCGCCAGGATGGTCTCAATCTCCTGACCTTGTGATCCCCCGCCTCGGCCTCCCAAAGTGCTGGGATTACAGGCGTGAGCCACCGCGCCCGGCCTATATTTATTTCTAGCAGTTTTATGATTTCAGATCTTTTTTTTTTTTTTTTTTGAGACGAAGTCTGGCTCTCTCACCCAGGCTGGAGTGCAGTGGCGCTATCTCGGCTCGCTGCAACCTCCACCTCCCAGGTTCACACCATTCTCCTGCTTCAGCCTCCCGAGTAGCTGGGACTACAGGCGCCCGCCACCTCGCCCGGCTAGTTTTTTGTATTTTTTAAGTAGAGACGGGGTTTCACCGGGTTAGCCAGGATGGTCTTGATCTCCTGACCTCGTGATCTGCCCGTCTCGGCCTCCCAAAGTGCTGGGATTACAGGCTTGAGCCACCGCACCCGGCCGATTTCAGATCTTATATTTAAATCTTTAATCCATTTTGAGTTAATTTTAGAGCTAAACAAGGATGGAATGCTCTGTTTCAAGGCTACTGTTTCTCGGGCTTTAAATATTTTCAAGCAGAGGCCAGAGAGCCACTGGTTGACTATTCTCTTCCAAAGTTGATTGCCTATAATTCTAAATTTAACACTCTGGATTGAAGGTAAGAAAAGAACAAAATTTTTACCACGTGTCTCTCAACTCCTGTCATATTTTAGCCATATCTCAAAGCAAGACATGAGGAAATAAAGATACCAGACTTTCTCCTTGCTCTGAGGACAGAAAGAATAACTGCAGGGTCCTGATTAGAGCTCAGCCATATTAATTGTGTAGCTGTTCTCGCTCATTCTGATTCAGCCTAGTGATGAGGATCAGAGCTGAGGTTTTTCTCTTTAATGATAGTAATGAGGATAAGGTGTACAGCATTGGGGGCAGATTTTTGAATTATTCTTTATTAATGTTGATTATTCGTAGAGTATATCTCAATCAAAAGTTTCTAAATCAAAACTGGGAAGGGGATAGCTTAATGGCAGAGTGAGGTAAAGTTTTAAAAATGTTTATAAGGTAATGTGACATTTAAAGATTAAAATGTGTTTTATAGATTCCTCATTTTTCATTTGTTACACTAAATCTTAGTTTTGTGCCTTCAGGTTCTTGGGCTTAAAAATGTCTATCTGCCCAAAAGACAGGAAAGTCACAAAATAATACAGATAGCAATTTTTTTTTTTTTTTTTTGGAGACAAGGTCTTGCCGGTCACCTCGACTAGAGTACAGGTGGTATGATCATGATTCACTGCAACTTCGAACTCCTGGGCTCAAGTGATCTTCCTGCCTCAGCTTGACAAGTAGCTGGGACCACGGTCATGCACCACCACACCCAGCTGCAAATAAACATTTTTAAATTATTTTGTAGGGACAGAGTCTTGCTGTGTTGTCCAGGCTGGTCTCGAATTCCTGGCCTCAAGCAGTCTTCCCACCTCAGCTTCCTAAGTAGCCAGGACTACAAGCACATGCCACCATGCCCAGCCACAAATAAACATAAAAAAAATTTTTTTTAAATTATTTTTTCGGGGGGCAGACAAAATCTCACTCTGTCATCCAGGCTGGAGTACAGTGGCATGATCTTGGCTCACTGCAACCTCCGCCTCACGGGTTTAAGCAATTCCTCGTGCCTCCGGAACAGCCAGGACTACAGGCATGCGCCACTGTGCCTAGCTCATTTTTGTATTTTTGGCAGAGAGGGGGTTTCACTAGGTTAGCCAGGCTGGTCTCAAACACCTGACCTCAGGTGATCCGCCCACCTTGACTTCCCAAAGTGTTGGGATTACAGGCGTGAGCCACTGCACCCAGCCTGAAGAATTAAGTATTACTAATTTTGTAAGAAAATACAAATAAAAGAGGAAAACAATTCTAAAATACCTGTAATCTCATCACAGTAGCAACACAACATCTCATTATGTAGATGATAGTCTTTTTTCTAAAATGTATCTGATAGTCTGTTGATGTACATTTGAACTTTTTGTCATAAGTAATGCCAAACATCCTGCGTGTTAATCTTTTTTTGCATCTCTGATTTTCTTAGGATAGGTTCCTTGAACTGCTTGCTGAGTCAAAACGTATTGCATTTTTCAGGCGTTTGGTTATCTGTTGCCAAATTGCTGACCAGAAAGGTTGTATCAGTTATATGAGCGTATTGGTTTATCCATTCTGTTATCTGTATTGTTTATCTTATTTGCCTATGTTTTTTCTTGCAGACTTAGTTTTTCGGATATATTATCTTCTTATAACTTTTTTTTTTTTTTTTTTTTGAGACGGAGTCTCGCTCTGTGGCCCAAGCTAGAGTGCAGTGGTGCAATCTTGGGTCACTGCAACCTCCACCTCCTGGGTTCAAGCAATTCTCCTGCCTCGACCTCCCAAGTAGCTGGGATTACAGACATGCACCACCAAGCCCAGTTAATTTTTTGTGTTTTAGTAGGGATGGGGGTTGTACCTTGTTGCCCGCAAGGTGGTCTCGAACTTCTGAGCTCAGGCAGTCTGCTCACCTGAGTCTCCCAAAGTGCTAGGATTACAGGCATGAGCTACTGTGCCCGGCTGTCATCTCCATTTGATAACTCCAGAATGGTATCTTGTTCTTTTAATTTTGTACTTTGATTAATAATCAGAATTTATTTTATATGTCCTAATAGCAGTACTACAAATTAAACTCATTGCCACGTTATAAGAGAAAACAGACAAAAATACACCTTAAATGTTTAACTAAAAAGGAAAGCAGTTAAAAAATTACAATTCCAATCAATAAACTATTAAACATTAAAGCTATTAAAACAACGTGAAGTATTTTTACTAATATAGGAAAAATATTAGTTTGTATATTTGGTAAGATAAGTGGTAAGTTTTTATCTGTAATTATACTTTTTAAATGTATAAGAGAAAAAATATGAAAGGAAATCCACAAAAATGTAATTGTTTCTGGTGGTGATAGGTGATTTTTAATGTTTCATAATTTTTAACACTTTCCACATTTTTATAATTAACATTTCTGTCACATTTATGAAGAAAATACATTTTTGTTAAGTATACCACACAAATGGTGCAAAAGAGAGGAAATTGTCCACTTGTAATTGTATGTAGTCAGTAAGATTCTGGTAGGTAGTTAATTAGCCATTGCCAAAATGTTAAACGTTTACTTGCTTCAGAAACTGACTGTTGGAATCACCTGAAAATATAATGCTAATAATTTTTTTTTCCTAGGTTGCTGCTGTTGATCTTCTGGTTCCTGGAGTTGGGGAACTCTTTGGAGGAGGCCTCAGAGAAGAACGATACCATTTCTTAGAGGAGCGCTTAGCCAGGTAATGGTCAGACCTAAAAGAAACACAGTTTAGAAACTGAGCATAAGGCGCTCAGAGGTGGTCATTGCGTAGTAACAGAGTGAAGACCCTGGGCCTCAGTGCCTGACAGAACTGGGCCTCAGTGCCTGACAGAACTGGATCTCAGATTCTCTGTGTCCTTGAGCAAGTTGTTAATTTATCTCTGAGCTTCCCTTTCTTCAGGAATGGAACTCTTACATGAAAAACCCACAGTGATATTTGCCCACTATTTTTACATACCTTTCCCTGTGGAAAGTAGCTGTTTAAAAAGTTAATAATAAAATGAGAAGAGAGAGTTCCCCCTTAAAGCTTGTCCTACATTTTTATCTTATCTGTATTCTTTATTTACTCTCAATTATGATTGGCAGACTTCTGTAGAGACATAAAGACAGACTCTGAGCCAGGGAAGGGATGAAGTTGGGGAAAGAAAACTAGTCAGATAGCATTTAGAATAAGCACATTTCACTTCCTCAGATTCTCTTCTATGTAGGGGTCTTGATTTAGCTATTTGATTAAGTTTAACTTGCTGTTTGAGAACTGGGAAATAAATCTGTAAACACATAGAGAATGTTTCAGAGACGGGGAGTAAGGAATTGCATTTCTAATTGAACTGCCGCTCCTACATATACATGTGTATGCCATAATGACTGCCTAAACTAACCATACCTGTTTTCCATGATTTCTACTTTAGTAAAAGTACTGCCAGACTTTAAAAAAAAAAACAAAAACAAAAAAAAGACTTTTACTATGTCTGTATGCCTCATTCTCTCCAGATAGTACTGGGTTTCATAGTAACCTGGAAAAGCCATAATTGTTTGAAAATACTCCGTTAGCCATTTGTGAGGCCTTCTTTTCCTAATGGGGAAAATGTTTTAAAAGTTGATGCTTTGTCAAGGTCCCAACCTATGTGTAAAAATCTTGGGTAACTTAGTTTTGTTACCCCACTCATCTGGACTGCTCTACTGGGTTAAGATCCAAAAGAAAGGGGATACATAGGTTTGAGGAAGACTCTGTATTCGTTAGATGACTAACTCCTTACTACTATTACAGTGTTAAAAAAGTCCTGAGAAAGCTGTGGAACTGAAGGTCAGATTCTAGTTGGAAAGAATCTGAGTATTCTCTATGTTTTTTAAAAAGCACAATACAAATCACACATGGCAAGAAACCTCATCTGTTGAAAGATTAATTGGTCTGTTTTCTTTGCTTGCTTCCTTCCTCCAGGAAACCTTTCCTCATAACATTAAATGTTTACCTAATACCTGATAATAGCCACATGTATCTTTCTTAATGAAGTGGATATATATGATTCCCTATTTCAGGGATTTGTCTGTGGCTGCTTTTCATGTTTTCTGTATTTTTGTGTATTTGAATTTTTCATATTCGTGGTCACATTAGATCACTGTAGTCCAAAACACGTTTTTAAAGGGCTGAGTTGAATTTCAACTAGCACTAAGAATTTTAAGTTTTATTAATAGTTCTCAAACAAGAATCAATTTGCAACTATATTATAAAGGCAGCCTCAGAATCTATATTATTGTTTTAATGTTGAAGAACGAAAGTTTTGTCTATGTGTCCCTCGTCTGTGTGTGCCTCTCAACAACCTTAACTAGTAATAATAGTGCTTTTCTTTTTTTTTTTCTTTTCTCTTCTTTTTTTTTTTTTTTTTTTTTTTTTTTTTTTTTTTTTTTTTGTCTCACTCTGTTGTCCAGACTGGCGTGCAGTGGCATGATTTTGGTTCACTGCAACTTCTGCCTCCTAGGTTCAAGCAATCCTTCTACCTCAGCTTCCCAAGTAGCTGGGACTACAGGCATGCACCACCACACCCAGCTAATTTTTGTATTTCTAGTAGAGATGGGGTTTCACCATGTTGACCAGGCTGGTCTGGATCTCCTGATCTCAAGTGATCCTCCCACCTTGGCCTCCCAAAGTGCTGGGATTACAGGCAGGAGCCACTGCACCCTGCCTAAAAGTAGTGCTTTTTTTATGTCACAGGATAATAAACTCATCTCAGGTGAATCCCTTCCTTTGGACTCTGGATCATATTTTCTTTCTATAACATTTATTGTCTAAACCATTTATTTGATAACATTTTGTGCTATTGGTTAACTTACTGTATAGTTTCAGCTCCTCAACTATATTGAGTATTACTTGAGAGCAGAGGCTTTGTCATCTACTTCTTTATAAAGAGGTCTTTATACACACCCAGAATAAATGTTTAGTGGTTAATATTTATCTTACTGCCATTCCCTGAAAGAATTTTATTTTCCTTTAACAGATCAGGACTTACAGAAGTCTACCAATGGTAAGAATGTGGCCCCTAATAATTCTTACTCTAGCTGCTTGTCTGTTGCCTAGAAGCGTTTTTACTTGTATCCCCAAGACCTGGTGAAAGAGTGAAAAACAGTAAGCTTAACTGTTCTTAGGTCAGGGAAGGGGTTGGGGGCTCAGAAGGTTACTTACTTCTTTTGGGTTCTTGAAAAATAGTAATAATAGCTCTCATTTCCTTACTACTAATTGTGTGTCAGATAATTATGTTAAAAATTTTATGTATATTGGCCGGGCTTGGTGGCTTACGCCTATAATCCCAGCAGTTTGGGAGGCCAAGACGGGTGGATCACCTGAAGTCAGGAGTTCGAGACCAGCCTGGTCAACATGGTGAAACCCTGTTTCTACTGAAAATACAAAAATTAGCCAGGCATGGTGGCAGGCACCTGTAATCCCAGCTACTTGGGAGGCTGAGGCAGGAGAATCGATTGAACCCGGGAGACGGAGGTTGCCGTGAGCCGAGATCACGCAATTGCACTCCAGCCTGGGGGACAGGAGCGAGACTGTCTCAAAAAAACAAAAAAAAATTATGTATATTATCTCATATAATCATCCTATCACCCTGTGAATTAGGTACTATTATTAACCCCCTTCTTATTATCCCCTAGGCTTGAGGCCCAGAGATGTTAACTAATTTAGCCAAGATCACACAGTTTGAGGGATGGAGATGGGACTTGGTCTCTCTGAATCAAAATCCTTGGCTCGGCTGGGCGTGGTGGCTCACGCCTGTAATCCCAACACTTTGGGAGGCCAGGGTCGGTGGATCACTTGAGGTCAGGAGTTCCAGACAAGCCTGGCCAACATGGTGAAACCCTGTCTCTACTAAAAATACAAATACTAGCAGGGCATGGTGGCACATGCCTGTAATCCCACCTATTCGGGAGGCTGAGGCAGGAGAATTGCTTGAACCCGGGAGGCAGAGGTTATAATGAGCCAAGATCATGCCACTGCGCTCCAACCTGGGTGACAGAGCGAGACTCCGTCTCAAAAAATAAATTGATGAATTTTTAAAAAATCCTTTCCTCTTTACCATTATGCTGCAATTTCTTTTTGTGTGAAATTAGAGACTTGAGCTAAGTGATCCCTAATGTCTCCACAAACTATAGAAATCTGAGCTGCTTAAGGAAGACCACGTGTCTGTACTCATACATTCACTTCCTCAAAGTTGTTTTGGTTTTCCTTATGAAGACTTTTTCTTCAAGTACTTTTCAATATATATAAATTTTTATTTATATTTCTATATTAGCACTCCTTCAGGATCTTGGTATAGTAATATCAACAATATTATTCATCCTTTTGCTGTCCTCAGGAAGAGGAGGGGGCAAGTTACCTATACCCTTGCCTTTTGGTTTGGAAGGAGATAGGTTTCAGAGATGAAAAAAATCTAAAATTGGCTTCAGGTGATGGCCTTTGAATGCCTTGTATTAACCAGTAATGACCTTACGTATACTTAATCTCTCTGAGTCTTGGTTTTTTGGCTGTAAAATGGAATGATATTATCTCTTTCACAGAGTTATTGTGTAGATGAAACAATACAGGTTAAGTATCTACATATAGTGGAAGCTTAGTAAATGCTGGTTTCCTACCCCCTTTCTTTCTTTGTTCTGGGTCTTGCTGTTAGGTAGATAAGCCTGATGATTGAGCGAGCTTATGCATGTTATAGTTTGTAAAAACTAGCCTTAAAAAAAGCTAAACACGCCGGGTGCGGTGGCTCAAGCCTGTAATCCCAGCACTTTGGGAGGCCGAGACGGACGGATCACGAGGTCAGGAGATCGAGACCATCCTGGCTAACATGGTGAAACCCCATCTCTACTAAAAAATACAAAAAACTAGCTGGGCGAAGTGGCGGGCGCCTGTAGTCCCAGCTACTCAGGAAGCTGAGGCAGGAGGATGGCTAAACCAGGGAGGCGGAGCTTGCAGTGAGCTGAGATCCGGCCACTGCACTCCAGCCTGGGCGACAGGGCGAGACTCCGTCTCAAAAAAAAAAAAAGCTAAACACACAGTGGCTCACAGCTGTAATCCCAGCACTTTGGGAGGCCTAGGCAGGTGGATCACTTGAGGTCAGGAGTTCGAGACCAGCCTGACCAACATGGTAAAACCCTATCTCTACTAAAAATACAAAAATTAGCTGGGCGTGGTGACAGGTGCCTGTATTCCTAGCTACTCGGGAGGCTCAGGCAGGAGAAACTCTTGAACCTGGGAGGTGGAGGTTTCAGTAAGCCAAGATTGCACCATTGCATTCCAGCCTGGGCAGCAAGAGCAAAAGTCCGTCTCAAAGAAAACAAAACAAAACAAGCTAAATACAAACTGCACCCCAGCCTGGGCAATAGAGCAAGACTCTGTCTTTAAAAAAAAAAAATTGGTTAAGTAAGTTTAAGCCTTGAAAGTCTTTATTAATCATTTTAGTACCATTCTTTTCCCAACTAAAGTTTTCAAATCCGTAAGATCTCCTTGAATTTGCTTCCTTTTATCTTAGTGTATTAAAGGTAAAAGAGACCTTAGACATCTTCATAGCTGTGATGTCTGCTAGTGTTCCACCATATGGTGAGAAGCCACCCCAGATGGCTAAGAATTTACTCGCTTCCTATTTCTATCTGCCATATGCAAATTAAATATATAACTAGTTCCACAAATTTCATAGCATCTCTTCCATAATCTCACTACCCCGGAACCAATTTAACAATAATCAAACAAATATGTATACATTAGAAAACTTTTTTCTTAGAAATGGATTTTTTCATCTATCAAAGCAAAAGCAAGAAAAATGCTACAGACTGAACCCCTCTGCTGAATACAGTTTGCGGATGTTCATGCCAGTATTTTAATATCAGTGTATGAGAAATTTAGACCCATCTAAAACTGTTGCTGGAGTTTCTAGCAGCCATGTCAGGTCCTGCAGGCATTTATGACAGGTAGTTTGGTGTGCTGTTCATTTCATCACTTAGTCAAAGTGTACTCTGTCCCCATGCCTTGTAAACTTTAAAGTTAATTTAGCAACTGAACATTCCAGTTATTCAAGACTATGTGCCTCCCATTATTTCTTACAGTTTTTACTAATCTGAAGTTTTATGCTAGATATTCCTGTAATGTTGATCTCTTACCTGATTACAACTCATCTGGTTGGAATTAATCTTTTCTTTTAAAAAGATAAGTACTTAGACTTAACTCCTTACAATAGCAGTATAAGTAGCCATTATTATTAATGGTGGGGAAATAGGTTGATGGACAGTCTTTATGATTGAGGAGCCAAGTAGCTACAAGTTATGTTGCTTACAGCTTATTATAGAACTGATTTTACAAATCATTCAAGAAAATATAAACTTGTTTGGTTTTTTTTGTTTTCTGTTTTTTGGTTTTTCTGAGACAGAGTCTCACTCTGTTGCCGAGGCTGGAGTGCAGTGGCTCCATCTCTGCTCACTGCAACCTCCACTTCCAGGGTTCAAGCAATTCTCCTGCCCCAGCCTCCTGAGTAGCTGGGATTACATATGGGCGCCACCACACTTGGCTAATTTTTGTGTTTTTAGTGGAGACGGGGTTTCACCACGTTGGCCATGCTGACCTTGAACTCCTTGAGCTAGTGATCTGCCCGCCTTGGCCTCCCAATGTGCTGGGATTACAGGCATGAGCCACCGTGCCCGGCCGATAAACTTGTTTTAGTCAATATTATATAACTTAAGAATTTCCCCACCAAATGACATAATAAAATATTTATAGTTGTCCTTTTTCTCTTTTCTTCCTAAAACTTTTTCCAATGCTGGTGTGTTAGAATCTGAGTTTCAGTCATGCCTGTGCTGTTGTCTTGCCATGTGGTCTTTAGTGAGGAAAGAATGTGCATGGATGGGTTTCAGAGGCTGTCTAGCATGTCAGCAAAATGACTCTGGGCATCTTCTGTAGGCCTGAGGCAGAGAATTAAAGGTTTCTCCTCACTCTAGCATTCAAGCATATATTTCTGTACCTTCAAACAAAACTTCATGTAATTAACACCTACTCTAGAGCATTCCCTAGTGATAAAACGTTGAATGAAGCACAGTTTCTGCCCTGTTGTAGCTTATAGTCTAATCTGTAGGATATCTTTTCATAATGTAACAGGCAAAACTCTGCACTCTCCTCTGTGTATTGAACAGTATGATTTTGGGAAGGAAAAGAAAACATTATTAACATACCAAGAAATAAAAAAGGCAAATATTTTCAAGAAAATTAGTAAATCCATAGAAAATCTTCTATAGCCTCCTGAGGCAAGTTTTCTGTCATAAACGCATAAATATAATAGCTTAAAAAGGAAGAGTGACGAAAGCCCATGACTGCTTGACAGGATCCACTGCTATTTCTCTGGGTAACCTTGGATAGATTATTCAGCTTCTTCCTTTCCATTGTCTGTCTGTGGAGGGGAAAGACTGGTCTATCGCGGTGAGGTAAATAATAACAAATGATTGCAAAATATGTTTGAAACATAAAATTCTACTCTTAACATCTGGTCTTATACAATATATATAGATGATGATTTTCTGTTTTTGAAAACAGGTATCTGGACCTTCGTCGATTTGGATCTGTGCCACATGGAGGTTTTGGGATGGGATTTGAACGCTACCTGCAGTGCATCTTGGGTGTTGACAATATCAAAGATGTTATCCCTTTCCCAAGGTTTCCTCATTCATGCCTTTTATAGCTAGAAGGTTGGTTAAGGAAAAGCACCCCATGGCAGAGGCACTGCACAGGATTGTGCAGACAGTAGAATGCATGTTTGGATTTTAGAAATGCAGATTTCAACATGTAATTGTTGTGCCATAAGATATCATAGAAAAAATATAAGTGGTTGTGATTTTCTTAGAAAGTTGAGGGTATTTCATGTAAGGATGAGCTCCCCCAAGAAGAGGTACTTATAGCAAGGGGACTCTCAAATCCATTACCTCAATTAAGAAGAAATGAAGAAATTGAATTAGATAGTCTCACAGTTTCTTTTAAACTCTAAAACAGAATGAGATAATGTATTTTACTTTGTAATCATTAAATCATTCCCTGTGTAATTTTTGAGAACCATCTAGTAGCTCAAAATGTTGAGATCTTTTCTCCCTTGTCATATACTTTGTGATAAATCCTTATCTCATTTTCAGTACTTTCCTAAACATTGCAGAAAAAAAAATATTCCTTAAAGTCTTAATTGATTTAACGAAGTAGCTATTCTGAATTGAAATCTCCTTTCATTGAACTGGATGAAATAAATCAGATTTAATAACTGTTGCTTTTCCATTTTAAAAGCTATTGAGATATTACATTAAGTATTTCAACTCTTTAATCACTGTTGTGTTATAATTTGTTTATATTTGATGTTTATAATTTCTCTAATAAAATCGATTTTTTTTATTGGCGCCTATGGAAAAAAAGTTATATATTTTTAAATTTCATTTGGTCCTTTCCCAGTAAAATTTGGAAGAAAGGTATTTTCAATCCAAGATGAGGATGGAAATTTGGCTGAGCCTAAAGGATGGGTAATTCTAGAGTTAAAAAGTACTGTGGTCAGCTGGGCATGGTGGCTCACACCTGTAATCCCAGCACTTTGGGAGGGCGAGGTGGGTGGATCACTTGAGGTCAGTAGTTCCAGACCAGTCTGGACAACATGGTGAAACGCCATTTCTACTAAAAATACAAAATTAGCCAGGCGTGGTGGCAGGTGCCTGTCATCCCAGCTACTCGGGAGGCTGAGGCAGGAGAATCACTTGAACCTGGGAGCCGATGTTACGGTGAGCAAACAACGTGCCACTGCCCTCCAGCCTGGGTGACAGAGGGAGACTCCATCTAAAAAAAAAAAAAAAAAAGTAGTGCAGTCTATGAGAGTGAAAAGAGCACTGATTGGGGAGTTTGGAACCTGACAATTCTAGCACTTTGGACAAGCTGCTTACTGTATAGGAACTCAACATCATTTTCTTCAGAGTTGATATAATACGTGTGTGTGTGTGTGTGTGCATGCGCATGCACACACACATGCATATGTTTAAAATTGAAATGCTACATAAACTTTTTAAAAACTTGTTTTAGTCTTTGTCTTCATTGAGTTACATGTATAAGGACCTATAGCAAATTGTATTCTCAGTGGAATACCCATGTATCAAGTAATTGTAAATGGGCATGCATGCCTGAATAATCAGTTTTCTAAGTCTCATTAGATGGGTTCTCCTAGATTATTTCCTAATGAAGTTTGTATGTATACTTTAACCTAATTTAAAATCAAACAGCTGAAAAGAAACAAATTCCAGAGCCTTAAGAGTTGGAAGACACCTGAGAGTTTGCAAAGTTGACCTTCTGCCTAATGCAGAGAGGTTCTGTTTACCTGGGCGCTTGGTTTTCCATTCTCTTTTTGACAAAGAAATCAGTGTCCAACAAAACTGCTCATTCCATTTCTGTATCTAATTGCTAGCTTTTACTGAGCTAAAAATCTCAGGAAAATCTACTTCCCTGGAACTTTAATCCCTTGGGCTTAGATATCAAGTTTAGGACAGACTAAAAGGGATAATTAGGGCTTCCATAAGGCTTGCCTCAACCATAATTAGAGAGAGAAATTCATTTGTTTATTCAACAAATATTTGAGCTTCTTTTATATGCCGAGACTATGTGGTAGGTGCTATATAAACAGTTGTGAACCAAACAGAAATGACCCTGCCTTCATGGAATTAAATAATATATTTGAGAAGATATATAATAATTAAATAACTGATTTCAAAATACAGTATGTGCTGTAAAGTTACATGAAGAACAGGAAAGCATAAATATGCTTGCTAGAAAAGGCATGTCTGAAAAAGTGACATTTAACCCTAGACCTAGAAGATAAAATGCAGAAAACATTTTTAAAATATTGGCAGCATCAGCCTGTATTGATTTGGCATTCAGGTCTTAGTAGATACCATATTAATTTAGTGGAACAAGGGACATTTACAGACCCAGAACCTGGAGGCACTGTAATTTCCAAGGCTGTCAGGAATTATGCCTCCCCTGATTTTTGAGGGACCTGATAGAATTGTAATGTTAACATGACAGAGGTTAACAAAATAATAGTGATGGAAAGACTGCTGAGTTAGAGAAACCCCAGGTTGTGGACCCAGCATTACCATAAATTCAGTTGTAGAGCATTAGGCAAGTAAAATAATCTATGTGGCCTCCAGTTTTTGCATCTACAGTACTATCACATTTTGAAGTAGGTAAGCTCTGTGGATCCTTTTATCTCTTAATCTTCTGTGAACCTGTGCTGGACTTGGTCACTAATAATTGATTTAGAGTCTAACCTTTAGGCAATATGTAGTCCCCTGTTTTAGTACATATTAGGTCTCCAAAATGTGTAACTAAGTCACATCGCTGAAAGTTGAACAATAGACTTAAATGTGTTCCTATACTGTATATGTGGAAGGAGGAAAGGTCCTTCTCAAGGCATCTTGCCTTTTTGATAGTGTTTTCACCAGTGTATTTCCGAAACTTTATACATTCTTTTCCTTGATAGTTTATCACACAATGAATATCTGGTTGAAGCCAAATACTTTGCCACCTATAGCAAGCCTAATAATTTGTCTTTGGCGCAGTAGTTCTATTTTGCCAATAATTGAACAGAAACAAAAATTCATGTCAGACAAAGATGATGAAAATGCCAAAACTGAACTGTTGCTTGCAGGCAGCATCAGCAGGAAAATACTCAAAATGTTTACTCATCAGCTGAGAGATGAATATCTAAATTATACATTGCAAGCAGTGTTGTATAAGTCAATGTATAATGACTAAAAATATGGATTCAATAGTTGAGTACTGTCTAAACTGTAATATCTTTTAGTGCTCAGTTTCTGAGTTAAAAGATGATAAAAGGGTTAGTTTTTCACTTGAGTAACCAGTTTCCAATGAGGAAAAAAGTCAGATTATGTTTTCCCACGATTTCCAAATGTCACCCGAAAATAATAACCCCAGCAGCCCAAGTAGAAGTATATTCTGAAACTTAGAAATGTTTTTTCCATTATTTATTCTCATTTCAAATTTTGAGATAGGTTGAGAAAAATAGTTGCTTTCCATCTGGCTGTCCTTTTGCCTGGGGAAAGTTGTGCTGTCATGTTTTTAGGTCTGACAAGAACTTAATTGTGTGAGTGATCCATTCCAGATCTAAACATAACTCTCCAACCCTTTAACCCAACCCAGAGACTCTTTAACTGTCACAGAGTAGCAAAAGAACTGTTTGACCTTTTGTTCTTGTCAGACTGGATCTGCCAGAAGCCTCCCTCTACAATGTTATATATTCATATTCTCTATAAATTGAATGTAGACATTGAAGCATGACTGAACAGGCATTGAAGATGCACTTGGTGAGGTGGATTAACTCTACCATCTTTAAATCCCTTGCTTCAGATAATTATAGATGAGAGATGCTTATTTGGATTGTATTGCTATTTATTCTTATGTTTATTTTAGTAAGTGGTGAGGCAAGAACATAAAAATGTACAGTTGAAAGACAGATTGGCCTGGGTTGATTGATAAGTAATGTGTGGGATGTTTTGGCTTCTGATTAATATTTGTATTCAGTCTGCAATCTAAAGTATGTATAATTAAAAGAAACAGGTGAGAGTAATGTCTGATTATAATTTCTTCCCAATTAATCTTCAGAATTAAAAAATAGTAAAAGCATTAAGAAAAGGGCAGAAAGCGGGCCAGGTACAGTTGCTCACGCCTGTAATCTCAGCACTTTGGGAGGCCAAGACAGGCAGATCACCTGAGGTCAGGAGTTCGAGACCAGCCTGACTGACACAGTGAAACCCCGTCTCTACTAAAAATAGAAAAATTAGCCAGGTGTGGCAGGCTCCTGTAATCCCAGCTCCTTGGGAGGTTGAGGCAGGAGAATCGCTGGAACCTGGGTGGAGGTTTCAGTGAGCCGAGATCGCGCCATTGCACTCCAGCCAGGGCAGCAGAGCGAGACTCCATCTCAAAAAAAAAAAAAAAAAGAAAAGGGCAGAAAGGAACCTTAATCACTGTATTGAAATGATTTAGTAGGACTTTCGTAAGAAAGCATCATTTTAGGTCATGGTCAGCATCCCTCCCTGAACTTGGACATTCTGCTGTTGCCAGGATCCCTACATTGGCCTGTGATCAACTAAGGCTCCAGTTAGCTATTGTGCAGTTTGGACCCGGCATTACCGTAAATGGAGTCCAGTGAATTTCTAGCCATTATCAGCACACTGGATAGTTTCCAGGCGACCTTTATAAAGAAGCCACTGGGAGTTTGGGTGGTTTTTAAACTGTCATTCAGGCAACTGGTCATTGAATTAACATAACTCATGACTTCAGAAATTTTCTGCTATACCTTTACTGTTCATAATTGTTACTAATAACATGACTATTATTTGGGCATTGCTTTACAGTTCATAAACATGTTTCATGTATCTTCTTAGTTATCAAGACAATACATTGTGGACCTTGTTCCTTTGTATCTTACTGGGCATGAAATTTATTTGGTTTGTTGTAAAAATGCAAAGTTCCTTTTGGGAGGCTGAGGCGGGTGGATCAGGAGATCAAGACCATCCTGGCTAACACGGTGAAACCCCGTTTCTACAAAAAATACAAAAAAAAATTAGCCAGGCGTGGTGGTGGGTGCCTGGAGTCCCAGCTACTCAGGAGGCTGAGGCAGGAGAATGACATGAACCCAGGAGGCGGAGTTTGGGGTGAGCCGAGATCGCACCACTGCACTCCAGCCTGGGTGACAGAGCAAGACTCTTTATCTCAAAAACAAAACAAACAAACAAAAAAAGTTCCTAATACTGAGAGAAAGACTACAAATAAAATTCACTGCCCTCAGCTTCTAGAGAAACCAAAAAACATAAAACCTTCTAATAACCAAAGAATCTTGCATCTTAAGCCCCAGAGTTTACTGAATTTGTCGCAAAATACACACCTTGACCTTGTTCTATCCAGGGAGAAGGAACAGGAGAATGAAGGAAGATGATACTTGATCTCAAATACATTCGAGTAAAGAGAAACACTGAAAATGGGATAAAGGATCCTAGACCCAGCAATGTACTTAAGCTCATTGTGCCTCAAATTTTTAATCAGTTTCTACTCACATTTGCCACCTTCCTTTCAGGATCATCCTAGAATTGTGGATAGAAAGATAGATGAAAGAAACTTTGATAGGAATTATTAGTATCTTCCTCGAAGGCACAGACCTTTGATTTTTCAAGGTAATAATCTGAAAATAGAAACTTGATGGGCCCGTGTAACAAAGGTTTTTTTTCTGCAACTAGTGCCCACGTACACAGGTGCAACTGTATGTTGCCGAACCTGAGCCATCTACAACTGTGATTCTTTGACTCATAACTTTCTGTACACACTAGCTCAACAAGAATTGCTGGTTTGCCATTTTCCTAGGAACCTAGTTTTGAAAATCTCTCCTTAAAGAAGATAATCCTTCCCCTGTCTATGATATATGAACTATTCCCCTCTGTATTTCTCCTGATTCCTAGTAATTTACCTACTGTAGCTTCACTGAGTAGGAACTCAATAGAGATATTTTATTTGGTTTTTTGTTTTTTTAATTTTTTTTGAGACAGGGTCTCAGTCTCTTGCCCAGGCTAGAGTGCAATGGCGTGATCACAGCTCACCGCAGCCTCAGCCTCCCAGGCTCAAGTGATCCTCCTGCCTCAGCCTCCCACGTAGCTGGGACCACAGGCACAAGCCACCACACCCAGCTAATTTTTGTACTTTTTGTAGAGACAGGGTTTTGCCATGTTGCCCAGACTGGTCTTGAACTGGGCTCAAGCAATCCTCCCACTTTGGCCTCTGAAAGGGCAGGGATTACAGGCATGAACCACTATGCCTAGCCTTATTTTTTGGAGACAGGGTCTTGCTTTGTCCCTCAGGCTTAAGTGCAGTGATGGCTCAATGCACCCTCGACCTCCTGGGCTCAAGCAGTCCTCAGCCTCCCAGGTAGCTGGGATCACAGGTATGCACCACCACACCTAGCTAACTTTTTATAGAGATAGGGTCTCACTTTGTTGCCCAGGCTGGTCTTAAACTCATGGGCTCAAGTAGTCCGCTTGCCTTGGCCTCCCAAAGTGCTGGGATTACAGGTTTGAGCCACTACACCCAGCCAAAAAGTTTTTCTCTCCTCAGAGAGCTCTGCTTGTTAGAAACTTCTACCTGAGAATAAGGAAACCTGTCTCTCTGTATCATGCAAATGGAATAAAATAGAAACACAACTCTTGTTTTCCAGTACAGAACCTCTAGCTGCTTGGGTGGACTGTCTATCCTTCCCTGAAGTGCTGCACCCCTCTGTGTTGTTCATCAGGCCATGTGTCCTTATAATGGGCCTTTCTATTGGTAGATAAAAACTTCCTTCCTGTTCACTCAGCTGCTACCCAAGTATCCTGTGATACCAATCTTAATAGTAGAAGAACTTTCAAGTCTCCACTGCCTCCTTCCTATCTGCCTTACAGCCTGTGGTAGTTGCTGAAGAACTTTAATTACAGTGTCAGTGTTCAGGGACAGTCCCAACTCTCTTCATGTGAGGATTGCAGAAATGGGCTTGGATCATATACAGACAGCGTCGTGAGGCATTACTGAAGTACAGTAAGTTCTGTCACAGAAGATGTCAACTAATATAGGCATTTTCTTTGCCATACCCCAAGAGCAGGAGCTGATTCCTGTACAGGTAGGATATAGCTGGCCAGTGATCTCTTTAAATGTAATTTCTGTCTGCCACATTTTAAATTACAGGTTTTTGCATCAGGAAAATGTTGGGTCAGATTATTTGGTGCCTTGGAAAGGGCATTAGATGCATAGTGAGAAGACCCTGGTTTAATCTGACATTCCACCCGCTAGCTGTAGAAGCTTGAGCAAGTTAATTAATCTCTGAGTCTGTATACCCATCTGCAAAATGAGGATAATGCTTATAGAGTGTTGTGAAAGCAATGAAGATTGTGTGAAAGGGTTTCATAAACTGACAAGCACTGCACAAATGTAAGGTTTCCTAAGGAAAACCTCTTCAAAATTCAAAATCTATATGAACAAAGATACTTACTCATGTTAGGTGGAATGTTTTACAGCCATTAAAAATCACAAAAGAAAATGTATTGAAACAATACAATTTAACTTGGTGAATTTGCAATTACAACAGTGTAAAAGCTGTGTACATAGACTAGAATATGGAAAAAAATGAATTACAGGGCAGTGGAATTGAGTGACTTTTTCTTTAAAGCCTCTTAGGTATATTAGGTGTACTCAGTTTAGTTCAATAAACTTTTATTGAGCTCTCACTCTCCCAAGCCCCGTGCTAGATTCTATGGGTGCTGAGACAAATAGGACATACTCCCTCATCTCAGGGGCTCCCATTCTGTACAGTCTTGTCAAAGTTTACTGTGTAAATGAATCACTGGGGAGCATATTAAAAATTCACATTATCCTACTCTCACCAGAAACTACTACACCTCTCAACTTTTATCTCTTTTCCTCACTCCATTTCTCCCCAGCACTTCTGCTATGTTTGCTTCTTTCTATGCAAGTGTTAATCTCCCACTCTGATTCTTTCTATGCCTAGTACTGTATCAACATCCAGGTGCTTCCCCTTCCTTTCTCCACCCCATCCCCCAGCCAGATATGTCAATTGTATTGAAAACAACAACTTACATCTAGTTTACTAAGTACAAACTTGTGCTGGTTAATGTTTCTCAAAAAGTAGTGGGCTGTTTGTTGATCAACAATCTTTTTTTTTAATCCGATACGGAAATTTTGGTGTCAAGTTTCACTATCACTTAGTTCCTGATTGATTTTCTTCTGATGGGTTAGTAGCCCTCAACAGAAAAGTTTAAAAGTCCTCTGCTCAGGTACCTGTCTTGCTGATAGAGCTGGGGTTACCCTGCACCCTGACTCAACATTGCTTGTCTCCACATGCCTGTAAATGGACTTGGGTGGCTTTCTCAGGCTATACACCTGTCACTTCTTAGTCACCCAGAATCAAAACATTAACAGCTCTGATCACATTGTCTGAACCTATGAGGCTTTATTTCAAGAGTGGTGACACTCCAAAATGCAGCTAGAATTTCCGCATTTTCACGTGTTAGTGTTGAAATTATTTTTCAGGAAACCAAGGGTTGGACAATGGCTTCCAGACTTTCTCCTTTCGTTATGCTCCTTCAGCACTTTATGCAAATACTGGTTGTCTTATGCTGCCATTCATCTCTGCCAGAATGTGAGCTCCACGACAGCAGGGATAAGAATGCATTCATTTTTGTATCTGCAGTGCCTTGGAGAGTGTCTGACACATACTGGGCACTCATTGAAAAACTGCCAAATGAATCATAAAGGTGACCAAAAACAGGGCGGGGGGGTATTTATGTGTCTGAAATAGCTTATGAATTTTTAAACTATCCCTTTCAGTACAAATCTGCCTGGAGCTGTTTCCTGAACACAGGACCAAAAGGCAGGAATCAAAAGTAATAATGAGTTTAGTTATCTGTCTGTTACTGAAGGTGACTTCTAGGGCATCCTCCTGGCATTGCTTCTGGAATACAGTGACTTAGACTTCTTCTGAAGAACATCTCTATGCTGTTCATCATATCGCCAGCACCTGGCCCTGTGCCTGTGCATAGCAAATGCTCAATAAGTATTGTTGAATGAATGTATTAAATTGAGAAGAAATTCAGAAACTAGTCCCAAACGAACTTAGTTGCTCAGATTTTCAGTTAGTGGTTTTCCCCACCTTGCTCTCTTAATCTAGACAATTTTACTGCCTCCAAATTGAAGGTAGCTATTATTTGTCATCTAATTTAACAAATGTTAGCGTCTGTTCTGTGCCTATCTATGGGGTACCCAAAATTAAACCTGATCTCATACAGTTTCAGTCCCCATACAGTTGGTTCATAATTCTCAGTGCTCCCATGGTCCTTTGAACATACTTCTTACAACATTGCCCAAATACTACTGGAGATATCTGCCTATTTCTCTCCCCAGAAAGACCCTGAAATTCTGAAGAACCTAGTCTTATCTTGGTATTCCTATGCTGAACTTGAAGCAGTAGGTTCTCAAGAAAATCCCTACTGATACTTGACTAACATATACACAAATAACCATTCCCTAGTAACATGTATTTGAATAGAAATATATTTTGTATTTGAATAGAAAGAAACATATGCTTTTCTAAGTATATTCCTAATTTAAAGGGATACTAAGAAACAAGATTGGTTTTTGTGTCTATTAAACATCTTCCAAGGTGTCTACTTAGTTATTAAACCTGTCCTTTTTCTGACAATTCCCCTACCCCTGTCCTGGCCAGTGGGTCCCTAGCAGACATCCTGGGGGCCAGAGCTTCCTTTGCTGATTGGTCTAGGGGTGGACACCTGATCGCAAATAGACCAGTTTCATTTTCTCTTGAGAAATTGGGGTTGAGGACACTAGAGAGTCTGGACTGGTTGCTTGAGCCAGGAACATATAAACTTAGGAGCCGGTGGGTAACCATGTACCCAGAGAGACAGAGAAAGCAGTCTTCAAAGAGAAAGAAATGAAGGCACAATGTTCAGAGATGAGGGAGACATACAAAATGGATGCCTGGTTTTTGCCATGTTTATTCCCTGCCTGCTACTCTTTCTGAGGCCAGATTATTCAACTTTTCCATGGGTTCCATGGGAGATAACTCACTTTCTTATCATCTCCATTTGATCTTGAGTGAGTTTGAAATGGGTATCTGCTTTGACAACTAAAAGAAGTCATATTAATATACTGTGTGACTTACAGAAGGAATTCTCATTACTTTTGAAGTCTCATTACCTTATAATCACATCTACATATCCCAGAATATATGTCAATCAGGAATTACTTAGATGGGGAATTCCTGATAAAGTAAGATGCAGTGGAGGGTAAGTGGCTTCTTTGCTTTTCAAATTTCTTAATAGTCTAAGTCACAAAAACAGAAAGCAAATAAATGGAGGCTTATTTACAGAGGGGATTGGACATGTCAGACCTTTTTTGGAACTACAAAATTGGATTTAAAAGATTTTGAAGAACCAACACATTTGGCAGTTTCCCAAACCATCTATTTTTGAAGATTCTGCTTTCCAGAACTGTATTAAGAATGGCCCTTGTCATGGGCTTTAGCTGTGTTTCCGACTAGCCAAAACTAAAAACTGAAAGAGACTAAATAAGTATGTGTGCATGTAGAGCAGCCCAGGCCCTGCAAGTGGACTGACCATAAACAATGATGGTCAAATCTATGAAAATAAGATAAAGATCTCGCTCTTCAGAAATAGTGCTAGATGTGTTCAGTGCTTTGTATACCACACTCTTTCAGCCCTGGTATGCCACACCGTGAATTTAGTGTTCACTTAAAATAATCATTTTGAAAACATGCGTGGAAAATACAGAGGAACTGTGAACTGCTAAAATCATTATCTGGTTCAGGAAAGTTTCAGAGGAAAATCTTGGGGCTTTTTCCTAGAATGTTATGAAAATACTAAGTTATACTGATTGCTGCCAACATATTTTCTAACTGTTCTAGGAAAAGAAAAAACAACAGTTTCCAGCTCTTACTCTTGGTTGACACTGGACCTTGGAGATGCTTGCAGGTAATTGGACTGCATCTACTTTCCTTTTTTGGTTTCCAGCTCTTACTCTTGGTTGACACTGGACCTTGGAGATGCTTGCAGGTAATTTGACTGCATCTACTTTCCTTTTTTGGTTAATTGTGTTAAATGTGCCTCATAACTTCTATTCCCAGTGAGGCTGTCATTTAGAAGGGGTGGGTGGGGGCTGAGGGGAAGCTGTTTTAATTCTGGCTTTTGTTTCAGTCACTAAATGTAATGCCACATGATTGTTGACCCAACAATAATCCAGTTAAAAAACAGTCTTCAGAGTTACTACATCATCAGAATTAACCCTGATTACATCAAATTATGTTGAAACAGACCACAGCTGTTTGCCCTGTTGAAGCAACTGCTTGAGAGCTCCTCCGGAAGATACATCTGGGTGTCACTAAGATACATTTTGGGTTTAATTTTGTTTCTCAACACAAATGTAGGAGGGAAACAAACCCTGTTCTGCTGGGGTGCTTGGTGGGAGCTGAAAACCTTGTGATTCTCCCGCAGTCAAAAGTCATCTCAATTACCAAAGAGAAGGGAACCTGAGATCTTTTGTTTCAGTTTTCTATAGGAAGGATGTAAGAGGGAGGAAATTCAAATCTGTTGAGTATTGCTCTTGCCAGCAAAAAGAAGTGGAACTGACTAGTGAGAAGGTGGTGGGATTTTCTTTGGTGGCTGTATGCAGTGGTGTCAACCCAGGAGAGTAGACTGTTCAATTGTGAAGAATTTTGCAAGACGGTTCTTAAAATATAATATCGTTAAAATTAAGTTGTAATAAAAAAATGGGAAATAAGCATTGGAAAAGATGTGGACAGATTGGAACCCACATACATTGCTGATGGGAACGTAAAATGGTGTAGCCACTGTGGAAAAAATTCAGCAGTTCCTTAAAAAGTTAAACAGTGTCACCATATGACTCAGCATTTTCACTCCTAGATAGATACCTAGATTGAAAACATATGTTCACATAAAAACTTGTACAGGAATGATCGCAACAGCATTATTCATAATAGCCAAAAAGCGGAAACAACGGTAATGTTCATCAGTTGATGAATGGATAAAATGCGGCGTATAAAGAACTGTTAAGTGCTTCAACATGGATGAACCTTGAAAACATTATACAAAGCCAAAGAAGTTAGACACACGAGGTCACATATTGTACGAATATGGTTATTTGAAATGTCTAGAATTGGCAAATCCATAGAGACGAAAAGTAGGTTAGCGGTTGCCAGAGGATGGGATTAGAGGAATGGGGAGTTAATGCTAACGGATATGGTGTTTCTTTTGGGGTAATGAAAATGTTCTGGAATTAGATAGCTGTGATGGTTGTCAAAGTTGATGAATATATTAGAAACCATGAATTATAAACTTTAACATGGTGATTTTTGTGATATGTGAATATCTTAATTAAAAAATTAAGTTATATAAACTTACAATTAAATAAGTTATATTTAAAAGAAAGGTAGTAACTACCCCAAACCCATCACTTGGCTAATTACTTTACATTTTACTATCATGTTCTTGGTATTATTTATGTCTATTGTGTCTTTATGTTGGAAATACTAAATAATGGTGTATTACTGTGTATCTCTTAACTCTGTATTGGAGGACATTCACTTGATAGCTTAAAACTGGCCATGGCTGGCAGAGTATTTATGCCACAACAGTTGGTATATACTGTAAATCAAGGCACCCACCAACACCACCAGGGAGCCAATTTAAAAATATTTGCCAGCACATCACTGGCTGTATTGTCGGACAGTCATCTTGAGTAATTCTGGTAGAATTACATAGTTAGATGAGATGAAATCCTGAGGCCTCTAGGTCTCCAACAAAACAAAGACTAGCAAGCCTGCACAGTTACTATGCAATTCATCAGGTGCAGAAGGAAATGACATTTCTGGTCATCTGTTGAATAAAGTCACTTTGAATTCAAGGGACATGGTTTTCTCCAGCTTCACTAGTGTTGCATCTGGTACAAGGGGTTGAGTGCTAAAGCCCCTGTAGGATTGTCACAGTGAAGCCAGATAACAGAGTAACCACAAAGGGATTTAATTCTGTAATCCCACAAAGGAGGACGTCTAAAGAGTGTACAACAGTGTCAGAGTTTGGAAACCAAGGGTTGACAAAGTTGGCTCTCTGGAATCTGGGGGTAGCAGTTAAAAGGTTAAAGGAGTCATTGTTTTTTGAAACTATCCAAGAGTTACAGCCATCTTTTTTTTTTTTTTTTTAAGAATTCGGGGAATCTTATTTTCTTACATGTTTCTGGAATTTTTCATTTTTTAAAAAATGTATTTTTAAGTTCCAGGGTACATGTGCAGGATGTGCAGGTTTGTTATATACGTAAATGTGTGCTATGGTGGTGTGCTGCACCTATCAACCCATGATCAAGGTATGAAGCTCAGCAAGCATTAGCTATTTTTCCTAATGCTCTCCCTCCCTCTCCCAACCCCCCCCAACCGCCCCACACAGGTCCCAGTGTGTGTTTCTGTCCCTGTGTCCTTGTGTTCTCATTGTTCAGCTCCCACTTACAAGTGAGAACATGCAGTGTTTGGTTTTCTATTCCTGTGTTAGTTTGATGAGGATAATGCCTTCCAGCTCCATCCATGTCCCTGCAAAGGACATGATCTCGTTCCTTTTTATGGCAAGTTACAACCATTTTTAAAAGTGGAACTGCACAGGATTACCTCAACCTACTATGTTCTTCCAGCTAGGCCGTCCCTATGGGTTTAAACACAATGTAAAGAAAGTGGATGTTAAGTGTTCTTACCACAAAAATGATAACTATATTAGGTAATACATTTGTTAGTTAGCTAGATTTAACCATCACACCGTGTATTTTATATATTTGTATTTATATTTCAAAACATCATGTTGTACACAATAAATACATACGATGTTACCTGACAATTTTTATTTAAAAAAACTACTCCAGCTGCTTACAGGTACCTTCACAAATACTATTCTCTGGATCAGAGAGCTCTAGATATTCCAATGGTCTACAGCCCCCACCTGTCATCCTTTAAGGGTTGTTTCCTTCGTTCTCACAATGAACATTTAATGAGTATCTATTCTATGCTGGTACCATGCTGGGAAGCTCTGGGAATACAAAAATGAGGAAGGGCCAGATGTGGTAGCTCATGCCTGTAATCCCAGCACTTTGGGACACCAAGGCAGGAAGATCACTTGAGCCCAGGAGTTCGAGACCACCCTGGGCAACATAGCAAGACATTTTCTCTAAAATAATAATAATAAAAAATAAGTGAGAAAAACACATTCATGTCTTCAAGGAACTCACAGTTCCTTGACAAGGAAATACTTGCAGTACAGTGTGATAATCCAGTTTATATAGGTGCAGTGTGGATATCAAGAAAAGAGTGAACAACTTTGCTGGGGAATGGGGACAGTCAGTTTTAGGGAAAGAGGTCTTGATGTATGTTCAAGATCTAATTCAAGGTAGGAGTTCTCTCTGCAGAGCAAATAAAAGGAGCCAGCACGCAGAGTGTGGTTTGGAAGACTACAGCACTTTCTCAAGGATCTTGACAGTCTTTGTTCTTAGTAGATTATGACGACTGATTTACCAGTGTCAGCAGCAAAGTCCTGGGAGCCGAACTGCCACAGAGCCATTACCACTGATTCTGGTTATTTTCAAAGGAGAAATTGGGAAAATGGGATTGCTCAAACTTTTCTCTAAGAAATTTTTTTTTCTCTTCTTTTCTTTTTTTTTTTTTTTTTTTGAGATGGAGTCTCACTCTTGTCACCCAGGCTGGGGTGCAATGGTGCAATCTCAGCTCATTGCAACCTCCATCTCCCAGGTTCCAGCAATTCTCCTGCCTCAGCCTTCCAAGTAGCTGGGATTACAGGTGTGTGCCACCACACCCCGCTAATTTTTGTATTTTTAATAGAGCTGGGGTTTCACCATGTTGGCCAGGGTGGTCTCAAACTCCTGACCTCAAGTGATTCACTGGCCTCAGTGTCCCAAAGTGTTGGGATTGCAGGCGTGAGCCACTACGCCTGGCCAAAAGTTTATTTTCAAAATGTCTCCCACTGGGTATAGTGTCAAGTAATTCTCAGACTATTAGCCACAGACAGGGAGGAAACCCAATTAGGTCTTTAACCCCACCCCAATCCCACTTCTAGATCTCATCCTCAACCAGATGGCCAGAGTTGACTTGAGTAAGTTAGAGTAATTTGACACAGAGAACCATGTGGGCCTCAAGTAACTAGGGGTTAAAGAAGCACACACCTTAATATGCCTGAGAGATGAGTGTCCTGAAAGACACCAGCTGAGGTGGCTCAGCTGGTCACACTGACCTTGGTAAGCAGCACTCAGTTCTGAAATTAACCTGTCAACTAAATTGAAGGGGAGAAAAAGCAGAAGGGCTAGCACACAAACATCCATCCCCACCCCCAGTCCAATCACTGACGTCAGGCCTGGCGTGGGTGGTATTAATCACACCCGCTTGGTGTGCAGTTGAGGACAGCTCTCCTTCCAGCCCTTCAACCCGTTTCTGGGAGCATTCCACCAGCCACGCACCTGCCACTGGCCACAAACCCTCAACTCCCAGACACGCACGGATTGCAGTGATGGACGTTGCTGACAACACTCAAAGCCACAGTGCACCCTTTAGAACCCCAGGCTTTGTGGGGAGTGAGAGTAGCTAGGAGCGGGGACCAAAGTGGTACCCATGCTCTCCCAGTGTGCATTTCTCTAATCTCTGCAGTGCTCCCTCCTCATAAGATAGTCATTTCCTGAGAATTTAATGAGAATATAAGATTAATGACCCAAAGCACTCTTGGAGCCGGCCATTAATTCCCCCAGGAAATACCAGTGGTCTTTAAACAAAATTGCCTAAATTATGGGCTAGTGATGCATGTCCGCTCAGGGCTTGGGGGTGGGGGGATTGTCACCCCAACTGGTTCCGATAGATGGCGCCTATCTTCATGTAAATCATTCATATGATTTGTTTTCCATTTTTTTCCCAGCA